GGTGCATTGTGTGCCGGGTGGCGGCCAGGAGCGGAGGCCCTGGCGGACTGACCCCCGGCTGCCAAGACAAACTATAACTGAAGATAAATTAAACAATCATAACAGAGCATTTTAACTTTGAATTTTTGTTAGGAATTACTTTGATTTATGGATTAATGGCACAATTGTTAAACATGGTTTGGAGTTTGCTCCCTTTGTCTGCTTTTATGTTAGAGCATGAGTGATTTGCACAGCTTGCGCCTTCCCATACACCTGTGTGTGTGAGGGGGGTCACCATTAATGCCTGTCTTTAGCTTACATGCATTCTGGAAAAAACAAAAAAATAAAAACGTGAACATCCAGAGATTTTCACACAGGCGCACTCTCATTTTCATATTATTAATAATGATTTTAGTCATGGATGGAAATGGATTCGTCGTTTTGTAGCAGCAAACTTTGAAATGTGCTCTGAATCTTTCCCAGAGTTCACCTTTTTAAATTAGATGTGTGCTTTACTTCAGAGGTGCTATTTTCCCTGTGAAGATTAATTGTCACTATCACATTTACGCACACTGCGCTCACTGTTGAACGCACTCATATCTCCTGAACATTTCCATATTTTAAACACATCCGCCCGTCTGTACCCATCGCCCTTACCGGCCAGAGAACAGCTGTGCACTCTCACCTGGGGATGAACTTGGCCTGCTCGTTCAGTCTGCTCTCAAAGTCTTCCCAAGCAGCAGACGGGTCGCCTCCTTCTGACTCCATGTCCGCCTCGTAGCGGTCGTGAAATCCGCTGATGAACTCTTGCAGGGTGACAGTGCCGTCCTTGTCGACGTCCAGCTGGTCAAATATTCGGTCAGCCTCGGCTGCTGACACCTGTAGCTCTGCGCAGATTGTGAGAAACTCGTTTCGTTCGATCTGCCCGGAGTTGTCCACATCGTAGGTGTGAAAGAGGGACCGCAGCCGGTCCTGTTCCTCTGCGCTCATTCCCTTGATAGGGGGCTGTGGCTGGCTGGGGTAAAAAAAAAAGAAAAAGAAAAAAAGAAGGCGTTTCGGTAAATTACAATTACCACCGAGACGACGAAACCTTGAAACCTTACAGGAACGCCAGCGTTTTACTTTCCGGACACCAGGAAAAAACAAAAATAGTCCAAACTCCCAGAGTTAATCCGCTCCTATCCAAACATTACCACAGCTGATGTGCCCTTACAAAAGTTTTGATCAAAGAAATCCATTTTAAACAATCCAAACTATCATTAAAATAAAAGCATTTGCTCCCGCGTAGCCTTCACGCGAGATGTTACAGATTGTTGTAGCCAATGGCCAGCTGGACGGAAAAAGCTGCTGTGTCTCACTGCCTCAGGTAACGCGCCTGCCATCGCTACCTGCCAGTGTGATCACTCCCCTCTCTCTTCCTAACAATAGACCTCTGGGCTTCAGGCCAAATGAAAGTGGCTCTGTGGCGAAAGCCTATTATCGTTCTAGCTGAATAAACTGAAGTTTCTGTAACTGAGACGAAGAACAGACTGACACACACGTAGTCTAGATTTCCATTTTTTCCAGGCCCAAATTATTATTTGACTATTAATCACATTAAATAGAGGCGAAGATAAAAAAAAAAAAACCATGTATACATAAATATTAATTTATTTATCTGTTTCAACACAATAACATTAACTGTTTGATAGTAGAGTTTACGTTTATATCATACTGAGGACCTTTCAAATTCAAATCAGTTTTATTTATATGGTTTCAAATCACTAAAACAGTTGCCTCAAGGCACTTTATATTGTGAGATAAGGACCCTACAAAAACATGGAGAAAACAGAGAAAACCTCAACATCAGGTGTTTGCTCATGATCACCTATGAGCAAACACTTGATGGCAGTGGCAAGGAAAAACTCCTGTTTAATAGGAGGAGACCTCCTGCAGAACCAGGCTCAGGGAGGGGCGGCTATCTGCCTGGGTCAGGGGAGGAAGACAGGACAAAAAACATTCTGTGGAAGAGAGGCAGTGATTAGTAACAACTAAACATGTAGAGAGTGAAAAAAGTGAGTGAGCAAGAAACACTCAGTGCATCATGGGAAGCCCCCAACAGCCTAAGCCTACTGCAATATAACTAAAGGGGGATGCAGGGTCACCTGATCTAACCATAACTATGTGCTTTATCAAATAGGAATGTTTTAAGCCGAATCTTAAAAGCAGAGAGGGTGTCTGTCTCCCGAATCCAAACTGGGAGCTGGTTCCACAGAAGAGGGGCCTGAAAGCTCAACACCCTGCCTCCCTGCTTCTACTTTGAAATATCCAAGGATCCACAGGTAAACCAGCAGTCTGAGAGCGAAGTGCTCTACCTGGTTGATATGGTACTATGAGGTCTTTAAGATGAGATGGCTCCTAATATTTTAAGATTTTGCATGAGATGGGAAGGATTTTAAATTAAATTCTGGATTTAACATGGAACTAATGAACATACACCAACATGGAAGAAATATGTTCTCTCTAGTCTTTGTAAGTATTCTCACTGCAGCAATTTCCCATTTCCACTGCAGTTTATATGGGAAAATACACAAAAATGAACAAAAACATACTAAAATACTCTAATGTTACACTAACAGGTATCATAATGAGCCTGACGTCCTTGTCTTATAAAGTAATCATTTACAACAGGTTAAAGAAACCTCACATGTAGCTTTCAGATTGCTAAAAAGTAATTGCACCTTCTACCTTGTGATTGAAATGCTGTTTCTACATCAAAATTACTTTATTTGTTCATCATCTTCATCACTTTTTGGCACACTGGCACATTTGCCTGATTTTCCTGCTCTGCCATGGTAACACAGCCCAACCTACTCTTGTTATCTAAGGATGGTTTCCTTGTGTGAAAAACATTAGGATCCATTGACAAAAAAAGCTAAAATTTGTGTGCAGTACGTGGAATACAATGAAGTCACCCAGCACATTGTTCAGTTTTTACTGCCTATGGCAGGTTAAGCAGCAATCCTCCAGCTGGATGCCCACTGACCTGATTTTACAGACTGCTCTGCAAACCAGATACCTCAATCGCATATCTTACAAAATGTGACAGCTGTGATATTGTTAAATTTTGTTTAACACACAAAAAATCTAGATTAGTACATCACACTTTGTTCTTCAGTAAAAATCAGGTTAATGAACCAGATTATTGGTTATGCTTCCTGTTTAAGGACATGTCAGCAATGCTTGGTCCACATTTTCATAAATAAATTGTCATCTAATTTATCTTCATATTCAGCTTCCTGTCAGGTCAAAGTATCAGTTTCTGTTATCCTAAACTACACGATCTGTACCCACAAGAATAGTTGGGTTCAAACTTTTCATAAATCCTACTCTACCATTAAAGAAGACCGCCGCATGCAGGCAAAAGCATATTTTACACATTTTGCTATGACAAGTTGCTGTTAGCTACACTCAGAGCACCCAGGCCTTTTCACCTCTCACCTGGACAGGACCTGCTCTTTTTTATCCCAAGCTGAGGAGTCTGTGTCTTCTTCAGCATCATCTTCTTCCTCCTGGTGCTGTTCTTTGAAGCCACTAAGGAACTCCTCTAAGGTCACCGTGCCATCCTTGTCGACATCCAGGCGATTGAAAATGCCTTCTGCTTCCTGGGACGAGACGTGGAGTTCTTGGCAAATGGTGTTGAATTCATTTTTTTCAATCCGCCCAGAATTATCCACATCGTAGGCATGAAAGAGAGAGCTCAGGCGCTTTTGTTCCTCCTCACTCTTTTTCTTTGCTGCTGCCATAGTTTTGTTTTTAATTTCTGCAGCAATCTGGCTTTTAGATTTGAAAGCGAGTATTTGCAGATAATAAAAAGAGCGAAAAAAAGTACTAGAAAAACAGGCAGAGCCTACAGGAGTTTAGCTGTTAGGTAAAGTGAAATTAAATTCAGAGCTGGATTTCCATTTGATAATTGATAGCCAGTCGTAAGGTTAAACCCCATTGTTGGAAGGAGACGGAGTGCAGCTCCAGGAATAGACTCACTCCTTCTGATATGTTTCTTTTATATCCTCCCCCTCCCGTCTCTCTTTCTTTTTTATAGGCATGCAATACTGATAATAAACTATTTTAGGACCATAAAATGTGGTGTTGCAAATGCTGTTAAACCAAACAGCATCAAGCAAGAATCCTAACAGTGTGGCCAAAATCTGCAAAACCAGCAACTGCATAAAAACAGCACTTTTTTGTGTTTTGCCCTCAAACAAGTTAAAAGTAAACCCTCGGTATCGTCTTATTAAAGTGCCACTGCTGATGTGGTTCCTCCTTTGACTTTGTAACATAGTTGGCCATTCACAGCATATGAATTATGTTTCCTATCTTTGATTATTAGTACTCATTGGAGCTTTTATTGGAAGGCTCTTTAAACCTGGAGTCATACTACTGCAAAACACACTGCTAGTCCTGCTATGATGATACCAGCAATGCTACACAGGAATGCAAATTATAGAAATTTAAAAGTACTCCTGCATCTTTTATTTTTGCTAATTCCATGTACAATATCATGCCTTTGTAGCCAGACTGTAATCTTTACATTTTAATGTAAAATATAATCAGACATATTATTAAACCCATTGCCCCCATTTCATGTTTTATAAACAGTTTATTAAATCTTAGTATTCTTAGCTTCTGTTTTTAGTTTATTTGACTCAATTCAGATGAAAAAAACAAGCTCACAGTTTTGCTCTAAGTAGCAGTAACCCACTACACCACTACAAAGTCAGCGGCACATACAAACAAAAGCAGTTTTTTTTTTTTTAAATTTTAAGTTGTAAAATACGATGAGATGGGTTTTTACCTAACAACATTAACCTGAGTTAAAAGTAGAAAAACAAGCAGCTTTTTAAAAAATTCCCGCAAAGTTATATAATGACAGAAAATATTTAATGCTTAGACGATACACCCTTCAGATTTCTGCACATCTGATAACAATCTTTAAACGCATGCAGTCAAGCACATATATTAAATGCTTTTTAGTCATCCTTGAAAATAGTCCCTCAGACCATGGCAGACCTCATTTAGCCTGTTGCTCATGTAATAGCATAGAAAAATAAAACTAATAATGCTACCTACTTGGCTAAATCAACATTTCCCTCTTTGATTTGTTCAATAAATATTTCGTGGAGATATAACTGTCAGGGTCAGGACAAAGGGGAAACATTAACGGTGCTGTTCACTTCTTTGATCTCGTGTTCAGTGGGTAGATGTGCACAGCCATAGAGATGAAGCACCTTCAGCCTAAAAGGAGACAAACATGGAACCAGATCATAGGTGCCAGCATGCATTTTTCATATTTTGTAACTACAGAAAGACATTTGATTTGGGTATAGATTGCTCCTTTATTCTGCCATGTCACTCACTTATTAGATCACTAGCAGCTGACTTTCATATTTTCGAATAATTTCCACCAATTAGATCATCATTGCATTAATTACTGCAGTGCTGACATGCTTTATTTTCATGGTCAGTTACAGTGTGCTCATGATAAGATGGAAGGAAAGTCTTTTTTTTTTGCAACTTTCGTAACTGTCATATGCTACGAAAACATCACAGAGTTTCACACTGCATAATCATGTCTCAGCATGTAATTTGTTTAGTGTGGCACTCATATATGGTTTTACACTCGTATGAACTTCTAAAAGATTGTTCAATTGAATTTAGGAGACAGATACAACATAATGAGCAGAGTGTCAACTCAGGCAGACCCATTAAATGGAGCCCACAGTCCTGTGACATCAGCTGACCTCAGTGCCTGTCCTCAATATTTGATGGCTCAGCTGATATCCTTCTGCACATATTATTAGGACATTTTATAAAAGGTTCACTATTTAAGTTGTCCCAGTCTCCCCGCTACATCCCCAATTCTCCTTTTCATGTGACACAGCTTCACCAGATGCTACTAGATAAACTACAGTCCATCCAGAAAGTACTTTTTTTTTACACATTTGATTGTGTTACAGCCTTATTCTACACACACTGCCCATCATTGATAAACATAATTTATATATGAGCTAATTATAATTTTATCCTGTAAAAGGTCATGGGGGGTGAACCTAATGTGTTCGTGTGTGCTACATTTAGAACTGCAACAGTGGAAAACCTTTGACATTTAAATATGTAGAGAAATGAATAGAAATTGAGTTTGAAAGCATGTGAAGAGCAGCTACTGCAACCTTCTGAAACACTGTATTGATACGTCCTTGTGTTCATTCTGCTCAGTGGAATTAATGGCAGTACAGAGTGACTCTGCATTTTGTGCAGAGAATAAAGAAACATCTTTGAATGTGTGTTTTTACCTCTTGCAATGTTGGCAAAGCTTCAGTATTGTCTTTACGGTGATGTGGCAGAAACTGAGTTTGATGGTATGAAGATGTCTGTTGCAGTAATTTGCTAGCAGAGAAACCCTGGGTCACATCATGCACGCACAACACACACACACACACACACACACACACACACACACACACACACACACACACACACACACAGTGTTCGTCACTAACACTGACACTAGCACATTGATCACATGTGGTGAGACGTGCTTTGTACCCTCTGTTTCCGGTGCTGGTGGAGCTGAGATCCAGCTGCTGAAGTCTTGTGCAGCCCAGAGCCAAAGACTGAACACCTGCATCTGTTACTGCTTTACAGCCACTCACATCAACAGCTCTAACTCACACAAACAAAAACCCACATGGATATCACAGATGTTAATTGTTATGTCAAGTATGAAAATATGAATTTAACTTTTTATTTTCTAAAGTAAAACATATTTTTATACAGTTCCTCTGGCCGGTTTCTATTGATAAGAACACCGCTGGCAACGCTTGGTTCTTATTAATTATGTGCACTTTGCTTCCCTTTGCATATGTGTGGGTACCTGATACAAGGTGAATATTTGCTGATGCTATGCAGTGTCAGGTCAGTGACTCCAGGACAGGAACTGAAGGACAGACTCTGAAGTTCAACGCAGTTCCGGAGCAAAGTATCAACTATGGCATGAGTGACCTGTTAGCAGCAGGGACTACGTTTAGAGCACTATTAAAGACAGAGCTGCAACTCCATAAACATTCAATGTGTAGATTCAAATTGAGTCACAGAAAACTATCCACCTGTAGTCCTGTGAGATTCAGTGAAATGAGGCTTTTGAGCCGTGCTGTCAACCTAGTGAGGCTGTTTACGGTGATTTTTGGCACTCGTCCGATGTTTAGATACTGAAGGCCGGAGCACATCTAGATATGAAGACATGCAGAAATGTACAAGGACTTACTTTTTCATGTTTAGTAAATGAAGCTCTGCAGAGCATCATAGTTTTTTATTTTTATTTTATATTAATAGTATGTGTTTTTAACTGTTATATCAAAATTTAGCACCTCATATACTGTCTGTAGCCAGGATGAAGTAAGGAACTGACAGCCAAACACCTCCAACCTGCGCAGGCTAAAAGACAATGTTGTAAACACCAAAAACAACAACATGACAATCTTGATGTGGTGGTTATTTAATGTCCTTCTGATAATCACATCTCATTCTTCACGAGACGAAGCGGTATTTATTTCAAATAATAAAAACATTCAGTGTCCAGGAATTCAAACTAAGTTTAAAATAAGGATTGCGAGGATTAACTGAGGATTATCTGAAACATAAGAGCAGCATCTTGCGAGGCTTAGACTTGAGAATGTGAGGTGTCAGCCACTACAAGCCGTTATCAGAATAGCATTATAATTTTTCTCTTTGATGCAATTCTCACAACTCCTCCAGTTATTAATTCAGTTAAGTCAGAGGTTTCAAGGCCTTTTATGCCAGTGGCCACAACAGCCCACTGTGATCTTAAGTGGGCTGGACCGATGAAAATCCCCTTTCTGTCAGTGCAAAGACATTTAATTCCTGCAATATCTCAATAGAAGAAAAAGAAGTGCAAATTTAACAGTGCCCTGAAATTCTCTGTCTGACAGAGAGACTGTATTTCATGTCTGAAGTGTAATTCATATTTCAACTTGACTAAACTAAAACTCATCTGACAACCACTTGAAGACATCCCCCCAAAAAACCCTTCATGCACGATATTTACAAAGACAGTTTATCCAGAGACAAACATGCACGTGCATTATGGGACACTTTCTAACCCCCACCTAAGCCTACAGTGTAGCATGAGTTACACCACCATTAGCAGTAAATGTGTTAATAGGGAAGGATTCTGACCTGTCTTTGTGTTTCAGGACAAGTTCTTTCAGAGGGGCATCAGTGACTTGACAGCCATTCAATACAACAGATTTTAGGCTATAGAAGACGAAACAAAGTTATCCGCCCATGTCAGATTCTTTATCTGGTATTATAACAGAGGTTAAGAAACTGGATGGACTGATTTCAACAAACACTTGGCATCAGTGGGAAGGGAAACGTAACAGTAATAAAACTCAGGCAAAACCAAACTCATGGAAGTGCGAACATCTACCAGTTGTGGATGGGTGCATGGATGGACAGACCCACAAATATGAAGATATAATATTTTCACCATACAACATGCCCTTCTTACTCTGAGCACAGTAAACAATTCAACATGTAAAACATATTTTTCACTTCACTAAGATAAAAATGACAAGAAGTCAATTATACACAACCTGTGATCAGCACAAAAATCATCCCTTCATCATTTAAAATGATGACATTTTTTGGAGTGAAGGTTTTTACTTTGTTAGAGGTTTAGAGGTTAGGTCAAGGCAGTTAGTGGGAGTTGTTAGGGTCACTGTAACATCCTCCTGTGTGTGTGTGTACTTGTTTAAATGTCTTCATGAGGACCATAAATTGGCCTCTCACTGTATTCATGGGGACCAACAGTCAATGTGGGGACTAAATCCCGGATTTCATGAATTTGAAGGCATGCTTAAAATGTTGTATTTAGGTTATGGTTATAATTAGGTCATGGTTACTCAGTAAGCCGTGAAAACAAACATATGTGTGTGTTTACTGACCCTTTTCTGTAATCCGTCAGAGCCTTCACTCCTGTGTCTGTTGCTCCACTCCAGCTTACATCCACACTAGTCACGTGATCACAGCACTGACTAATCACTGACAACATTTGATCACCATGGAGACCAGGACCAGTACAACTTGTGACCTTGAGTTCCTGAAATGATCGCATGACTTTATATTCACGATATTTGCACTGCTGTCACAAAGTACTGATGTAAGCCGCAAAATATCACATTTTACACACTTTACATCTATGAGACTTGTGACCAGTGATGGAAGATGCATTCAGAGTTTGGGTTTAATAAAAAAGTGTCAGCACAAAAAATAGATAATAAATGTGATTTTTTTTTACATAACAGTCAGACACAACTCTAAGTTATTTTCACAGCCTTTCAGCAGAACTTCCAATCCTTCATGCCACCTCTGCATGATTATCATTTAGTTATTTACTCTATTGAATCATATTTTTGTATTACTTTTCTTGTTATTGGATTTTTTTTTTTTTTACCTTAAGCGAATTCCTACACAGTGAGAAAAACATCTGCAGCCCACTGGAGCAGACAGAGAGGCCACTGCAGCTATACAGAAACAAACTTCGAGGACAACGTCTGCCCACACACAGCAACCACTGGTCAGTTAAAGCCGAGTTTTCAAGCCTTAGATTTTTCCCTTGAAGGAGGAGTAAAACATAAACTTTTGTTTAATGTAAGCAGCTTTTTTGTTCATTCAAAACTCTGAACTGTAGTTTCTATGCATGACTGTGCAGGTCAGTGTAATCATGTGTATGTTTGTTCAGGGAGCAGTAGAGCACACACCAGCTGGAAGCTCTTACATCATGAGAACGTACCATGTGCTGCTACTTGGAAAAGTTTAGAAAATCCCTCTGACATCTGTCCTGTGTTCGATCTGAATTTTAGCAGAATGATACTAAAATCTAGCTGAAGTGTTTACCAAACTACAGGTTCACTCACACAGTGAGTGATCAGATGCCAGTGCATGCAGGCGGTGGCAGACCTGCACCACTATGGATAAATCTCTATGAGGCAGCAGAGACAGGATGAACAGCCACACCTCATCAGGCAAACACAACCAGCGGTCTCTTACAGGGACGCCTGCTGACTAGCAGGTGTAACGACACCACAACATGCAAAACAGAAAGTAGAGGGATTATTTTAACAAGACACTGTGAAATGTTACAACCAATGTTAAGATTTTTACATTAAAACACCAGATAGACTTGGGTTTAAAAAACTGTTTAAAAAAAAGGCTAAAACTATGTGTGCATGTAGTAAAGATTTCCTACCTGGTATTCAAAGGTATTGTCCATACTGACATCCGTGGCAGAGTCTGTAAGTGTGAATGAAAGTTACACATTATATTCTGATGTAAAAACAGCACTAATTCTGAGCATTTACTTGGTTAAAAAGTGAAACGCATAAGTAAACATTATATTGGCTTGTTAACCAGAATGTCTGATAAAGAGTGAAATGAATTATACATAAGTTTCAACAGTTGGAGCAAATTTGTCATGTGAGATGCTGGTGACTGAGCTTTCCTTTGATCTTCTGTTTTTTATTGCACTTTATCATCTTTTTGCAGTTTTGTCTGTAATTTTGATGTCAAGCTTACACTCACATGATGTAAATCCAGAGTCATCATGATGAAGAGTATGTGTCTGTACAGGTCGCGGGATCAGATTCAGTTTCTTTGTGTACTTGATTGCTTGTTGATGTCTGCAGGAGACAAAGGGTGAAATTCAACTTCTCATCATCACACACTAGACAAAATTATTTGGCTATTAAAATTAAAATTTGGTTCATATGCCCTTAGATAAGAAGAGAAAAGTGTACATCAGGAGAGCGTAGACGTCTGGGGAAACTTAACAAGTTTTTCTAGTATAAACTTGTTCAAAGGTTATAAACAACTCTCCACACACTAAATTAGCTAACCTTGGAAATCTTTCTCCCAGTGAATTATCAGTGAGGATCCAGCGAGCTCTATCTCCAGCTCTATTTTTTGGATCTTTGAGAATCCTCTGATGGTCTGTACTGTCTGGATGATGTCTAATCCTGTTTTGAAGCAAACCTAACCACAGACACAAGAGGGGGAAATACATATTAGCAAACTGCTTAAACTTTTTCATCTCAGCATTCCTTGAATTACAGTATTTATTTGTAAAAAGCCCTTGTTGTTGGCGTCTTGTTGTAGAGCACTTATGAGTTATAAATAACTCCATGACAGGCTGATTTATTCTTTCAAGGATAGAAGTGAGGAAATTTAGTTTTTGATAAGAAACAAAAAAGGAATGAAAAGCCAAACGTTAATGTCCAAATGTAAAACTTGATCATCTTTTTTTCTGTCCTGTTTATCTCATAACCTAAGGGTTCATTTCATGACAAAGTGAAAGCATCTTGACACCTTGATAGTAATAATTAGCAATGCCACATTTTTAATCTTTTGAAACAATTTAAACTATAGCATTTTAAAGAAACACCCATCCATCTGTCTTCTTCTACAGATGGATGGATTTGGATGGTCTTGGTTTGACTGGAGCCCTTTCCAGCTGTCATAGGGTGAGGGATGATGAGGTACACTCTGGACAGGTTGCCAGAGACAGTCATTCACACTCATGTTCACATCTAGGGCCAGTTTAGAGTCAGTAATTAGCCTAACCTGCACATAATTGGGCCGTGGGCGAAAGCCAGAGAACAAGGAGAGAACATGCCAGGAGAGACTCCACACAGAAATGCTCCAGTTAGCTGGTGGATTCAAACCCAGGACCTTCTTGCCACCACACCACTGTGCTAACTGGACTGTTATTTATTAGATTTTTCATCATCATTTATTGTTATCCTGTTAAACCCATATTTTACTGTTTTAAATTGTTGTGTAATAATCTAGTTCTTTTACATATAATCTAATTGACTATAGCTTGAAATATTGAACTAATACAATTTTTTAATATTCTTTTTAAATTCTGTAATTTTAATGTGGATTCACTGGAAAATCCAAATTTTCCAACTATATCTTGTCTTTTAAAGGGTTATAGGAACTGAGTAACAAGACTCAAACATCATGACAAGAGGACTCCATATGAATGGAAACCAAAATTAACTACCAAAGTAAAACACTAAATTAGTAAGGATAAATAAAACAAGAAAACTCAGTAGTAAGCTTGACATGCAGGAAAGACAGATGGAAAACAGAGGAAAACACTAAAGAAATGATTCATTAAAGTTCAAGCTGTAACTGGAACAAAGAACTAAAGACTCAAAATACTGAGAAAATAAAAGAAGATTAAAAGGAAAATAATAAACAAACTAAAGGCCAAAATACAAGGTCCATAAACTCTAAACTCAGGGTCCAAACACCCCCCGGACCATCAACACACGTCGACTGATTGCATACAACATATATAACGATTTCCATACCTGGGTTAGAAACAGGAGCAGCATCCTTCTCCACACAGTACACATCACCTGGCTTGTTCTCATCATTCGAGGCTCTCTCTTCTGCAGTTTCCTTCATAAAAGCTGTAGGTGTTTGCTTCACAGTCAAATTGCTGCAAGATTTTGCACTTCTATATTCGCTAGGAGTTTTCTTGGTGCCATGTGAGCTCCTCTCCTCTGCGCTTTCTGCTGCGGTGGCTCTTTTGCTTCCTGTGTTGTTAAACTGTTTTTTAATCTCAGGATTTGTGATGTAAGAGTTCAGTTCAAAGCAAGACCCCGGACAAGCTGGAGCTTTAACATAATCGCCCATTTCTCCAGATGTCGTCCCCTCTTTCACAGGTGACTCAGGCTTGAAATGCTGGCTTATTCTGAGGTGATTTAGCTGAGCCACACATAGCTGGTACTGCTCATACACACTCAAGTTTAATGACGATTTCAAGGGATGGATAAAATGGGAATTAGCTGTTTTTGCGGTCTGCTCAGGTATCATCTCTGGCTCAGCGAGGCTTATTTGACTATGTGTGTGATCTGAGCTGGATTCCTGTTCTTTTCTATAATTTCCCTCAATCCTGTCATCTTGTGTTTTCTCCTTCTCATTTTCTTCCATCCACTTGTCCTCTTTGCTCCGTACCTTTTGACTTTCTGACACCTCTCTTTTAGCTCCAGCTCTTTTAGAAGTCATGCCACTGAAATTGTTGCTTTCATCTAGCGGTTTTAAGATATTCACTTCACTGTACGCTGTGCTCTTTTTACAAATGGCATTCCTCCCAGATGATGTGGACTCTTTGATCAAGTGTGTTGCAGCATCAGATGTGAATGTGTGGTCCCTTTGATTAGACATGTGAAATCTGTTTGTTCTGCGGTAGTCTTGGCTAGAAATGTGTTTATTGGTGGCATGTTGTTGCTCTGTACTTTTTATACTTTCAGTTTCAGTATCAGGGCAATTTTCCTCCTGTGTCCCTGGGGAAAAGGAGACTGGACTGTGGAGGTCATATGAAAACTTATAGCTACAGGAGCTGGTTAGATCATTTAAAGATCTGGACTGACAAGTTGTTTTCATACTTGATCCTCCCTCATATACCTCACGAGCACCGGCATCAAAGGAAACTGGATGATGATATTTAGGTCCAGATGAATGTTTGGGTGAGATTTTCTTGCTTCCTTTGTTTTTCATATTGTTTATCAAACTGTCAGCTCTGCAAAGTTGATGGCAAATCACTGAACCACTGCAGAGATATCTGTTAGCCCAGTCCAACACATGCCTGAGCTTCTGCTGCTCGCTGAAGAGAGAGTCACTGAAAAGATGAAGGCTCAGCTCCTGGTTGATACTCTGCCTACAGTTCCCAACATCCTCCAGGAGTTCGGACACAGCACCTTTTGTTGTAGTATTTAGATCTGGCATTTGAAAAGACGTCTCTTCTCCAGTTGCATCCATTATTGCATGCTTTAGTATTTCGCCTTCCTGTGTACACCTTAATATGTTCTCTGTAAACGATCAAGTTATTTACATTAATGACAGAACAGTCCTGTTTATTAGAAGCAAAACAAATGTTTAATGCACGCACTATGCAGAACATATTGAACACATCAACATACAATACGCTGAAAAAGTCACCCCTCATTTCTTTATATTTTGCTAGGACAATGGGAGATCATGTTCAATGGGGGTCATGTTGAAGAATGAAGTTGTTTCCAATCAAATGCTTTTCAGAAAGTTTTACGAAGTGTATCAAAATTTGATGGCACTTTTCGGCATTCACAGTTTCATCAGTTAAGAAGACATTGTTAATACAACTGCTTGAAATGCACTCCTAAACCATTAAATAGCCTCCACCATGTTTTACTGATGGCTGTAGATACTCACTGTTGTGCATGTTTTCTGACCTCCGTCATACATACTGACAACAAGTTCAACCATGAATGTCAAATCTGGATTCCATCCATTTGCTTCTACCTATCTAGTTCAGGGTAGCAGCTGGGTGGGCGTCTATGCCAGCTTTCATGGGGCAGAGGAAGGATACACCCTGGACAGGTTTCCAATCTATCAAGAGAGAGATAAAATCCACATTTATACTTGTGGTCAGTGTGGAATCATCATTTAATCTAACAGCCAGGGGCAAGCCGGCCAGCCAGGGGCAAGCTGGAGCACCTGGAGACGATACGTAGACTTCACAAAGAAAGGCTGGAGGATTCAAACCCAGGATATTCTTGCTCTGAGGTGAAAGTGCTAACTACAGCATTGTGCTACCAAAAATTTAGATTTGTTTCTCCATTAGACTTGTTCCACTGATTTTCAGTCCAGTTCTAGTGTCATTTGGCGTACCTCAGCCTTTTGCCCGTTTACTCTTTTTACAAATGGCTTCTTGATAACCAACCCTCCACTTGTTTGTGAATGTGTGATTGGTCCACTTGGAGTTTTTCTGTTTCCTTTTTTTTTTATTTAAATGCAAACTGTTTGATATTTTTGCAATGACCCTGATGAAGGCCACAAGCCGAAGCGCATTGGTCACCTAATAAAGTTGTTCCCTAATACTTCAAGTGTCGCTGGAGTCTTCACATCATCCAACCTTTCACTGAGACTGTTTCCAACCAGGCTTTGGTGAACAGCAGCTGGATCAACTAAGGGAAAAATACATCTCTCAGATCTTTTGCTTTTTCCTATTTCTTACAGACACAACTTTTAGATACTGTTCATTTACTGCAGCTAGTTTTTTAAGCCTGCAGTTTCTTCTTTTGTCCTCTGCTTGTCCAGTTTCCTGTTGTTTTTTTTTTGTTTTTTTTTTGGGCAGAGACACCGTGCATCAATCAAAAATATGCCAGGTTTTCGGCTAATAGCTTGTTGGGAAATACCTTGTTGGTGCAAATTATACTATCAGACTGCATTATCACACAACCCTGGTTTACTGAAAAAGCGGCCAATGTCAAAAAAACCCAAACCAAATAAAAGAAACTCAAAAAGCCTGGAGAACTTTAGATGAAGATAGAAGAAACAAGAAACAAGTGTTGCTCTCCAACATCCACTCTAAGAATTACATGTTTTGGCTATTTTTGCCACAAAAACAACAGCTTTAGTTTGAACCAGTTTAAGAGAATAATCACTCTTACCCAGAACTCTTTCCCGGCTTGTATTTTGATAGTTCCAGCCATGGAAAACATAAGTAGTATCTAAAACACATGAAGCTCAGGCTGCAGTAAAGCTCTGAACACACCCATGGAAGTCTTGTGTTGCTCACACAAATATCACCATAGAGATCTCAACACAAGCTGCAGCAACTCCTTTTTACCACAGGAGGGAGGCAAATCTCTGACAAATTGGGAACATGATTTATTAGGATATTAGCAGGAATAACTCGCACAGTAATAACAACATTTCAATGTATGTTCATCAGGGAGCTTTATTGTGGCAGTATTAACATATAAAACAAACCATGTTTTCTGTTATAACATACAAACATTCAAAATGTTCACTTCACAAAGTTCATAAGGCTTGGTTGTCCCAGTAGAGAGGGGGGGTCGTTACTCGAGGGATGGTTTTCCCCTTTTTTTCTGACTCTTCCTAAATCAAATCTCCCAGAGTTTATTATTAAAAGTGACAAAATGACAAAAAAGAAACAACAAAATGACTTGACTAACTGATAAAACAACAAAACAATCAGATTTAACAATAACAATCAAAACAATACAGGGACCGTGCAAGAGATTCTGCTACTACTGTACATGCCCACACAACACTGAAATAATATACAGTTTATTTTGCTCTACCATGTGATGTCCAGTAGTTTTGCATATAGTAGACCTGAGTTCAAATATTTAAAATCTTAAATAAATGAATTAAAACATGTATTAGTGTATTCGGTTGTGTATAGTAGTTTTAAACAATCTGATTTCCAAGTGTTAGTTAAGCGTTTTTGCTGTTAACTTTCCAGATATGTAGACAGGCAGTTAAATTTAAGGTTTGTAAATACTTGACTCGTGCCGGTATCTTCTGAATTTGCACTTAGACGTGACATCAAATTGTATGTGATTTTTTTTTACTTTACTATTTTTTTTCTTTATCACAGTTTTCTTTATAATTAGGCAACAAAAGTTGTTCTCCCAGTCCATCCTGTATGCTGTTTGTCAATAGCAGAACCCCAAGTTCTGTAGCTAAAAAAAAAGAGCTGAAAGTGGTTCAATTCCTCTTTTCTTAAAGGGTGTTAATGTATAAATGAGCTACAGACTAACATAGTGCTACAGTATCAAATAGAACCCAAAGGCCTTTCTGTTGTTTGCAATGAGTCAGTGGTTGATTCTAATTTTCTAGTTACAAACTAAAGATCTGAGCAAGTTGGAATTAATACTTTACAATTAGTGAGATTAAATTCATTTCTGTGAAGTGAAAGTGAATGAAATCTAGCCTTGCTAATGGCATCAGTGGCTAATATGCTAGCATGCTCTGTTAGCAATGAGGTTTGGCTTTAATGATGTACAAGCACACAGCAAAAGCACAATGTAGCTAACTAGAGGAGCTACTCTTCATCTGATGAGAATATTACTTAAGTTAACACAGTTAGCAACCACCTGTAGTCTATGTTGAGAAGTGAGTGACTAAAATTAAGTCCAAAGATCACTGCAAAGTGGTTTTTGGTTTCAAAAAGATCATCAGTTTCTCCTCTTGGTAAAAACACAGAGAACATGCATTTATCTATGATGGTTGAGACAGCCAAGCCTGTAATCTACAGTGGATTGCTTTACACAGACAAGACACACAGAGGAAAGAAAGAAAAGAAATCTTTTTCTTTTGCCACAGCTATAAACACAGTATTTACAGATGAAGGGCATGCAACTTGCACTGAGAGGTCAGCAAAAGGAACCAAAAAAGATAGATTCCCTGGTTTAACTGCAGGAAGGTGGAGCACAGAAATAAAGAACCAAGGCCTGCATCTTTAGAGCCGTGAAGAGTCTTTTAATCTGTGGTGAATCTCTTGAGCACTTTGATGCCTGTGCATACACGCTATGAAGACAGAGATGATGGTGATCATTTAGCAGTGCATACAGATCAGCTTTGTTCACTCAAGTGAAGGCATTTAAAAAAAAAAAAAATCTCAGAATCTGCAGCATTAGATGCAAACATCTTCATCAGAGTCATTTGGCCCTTTGCTCAGTTTCACCTTTGAAACTCAGTGCATGTGCTGTAGTAGGAAAATAAATGCTTTGTCCTCAAATAAACTTGTTCCTGTTGTTACTGCATATCTGCTATATATGCATAAAGCTTGTTAATGCATAAAGTCCACAGTTACACGACAACACAGCTGATAACATGAGGCAGAATAAATAGAAGAGAATGTGAGGGCTGTGCACTGCAGAAGCCTCTGTAGCAGCTCACTTACAAAGACTACAAGGAGTGGAAAAATCAACTTTAAGTGATGATTTTGTAATAGACCCTCGAGACTGGCTCGAAATTATACTGTGTAGCCATTCCCAGTTGTGATAGTAGTGCAATGAGCATTGAAGTTTATCTATGAAGGCCAAACTGCACGTACAGGCTCTCAGAGAAGGAGTTTTGTGTAGTATTTTAATGAAACTGACATGGATGCATACATTAGTTATGTGAAATTATGCTACAACAACACAGACAGTCAGCCAACATATTAATGTCTAACTTCACCTACAGTGCTTGGTTATTCTAAATAGCAAGACATATGAGATAAAGGTTATGGATAAATTACATGGTGTGTATATGCATGTTTTTTTTTATTAATGACTTTTTAATTTTTTAACATAAACTGCATAAATGCCCTTTCCTGAGAAGTTGATCCAAATCAAACTACATTTCGGACACAACTACATCTGTTTTCATTTGATCTGAAGCCATTTAGCATCACTTTCATTCAGAGTCACTATGTCGTAACAGACAGCCATCGTCACAGGTTCAACCAACAAGTTGATGGCTGTAAGGTCCAAAAAGTAAACTTTTACTTAGTGACACTTTTGAGATCATCTATACAGACAGCACACACACAGAAACCTTGACTTGCTTTATATTTGACCTCACCTTTTATACTTTCATGGCAGACAAATGTGAATAATTTCTAAAATCCTACACTCTCTGATCCAGATCAGTTTTCCTGTGTATACATATAGCAGGATGTCACTTCCAATGACTTGAGTCGATCCTAAATTTACACACCAATCAACAACAAGTTACAGTTGTGGTCAGATGTTTACATGCACTCGTCATGAAGGTCATGGCAACTTTGGGCTTTTAATGATTTCCTTGAACTGTTCTTTTCCCAGCATGGAATCAATGTACAGCAGACCGGCTACACTATTTTGAATGTATTTTGGACTTTGCCTAATCGACACAGGGTGGACACAGGGTGTCGCTTGAATAAATAATAAATAAACTCTACCAGTTCTGCCAAGAATGGTCAGATGTCCAGCTAGAATTACAACAGACATGTTGATGGCTACCAAAAGCATGAGGTCAAGGTGCAACAAGAGATTTTCAACAAAATATTAGTCAGAGTACATCTATATATTTAAGCCTGCATACTTTTGACTTATACTTAAACTATCCCTTTGTGAATTAGAGAAAATACAAAATAAATTGAAACTCATGCACAAAGTTTGTGTTTTTTTATAATCATTAAAGATGTTGTATGTTGTAAAATCATTCCACCCTGAAAAAACTGCTCAAAGAAATCATTAAAATCCACAGATTATCATGACATTGATGATGAGTCTATGCAAACACTCAGACCTGAAGTGAATAGGGACTGTTTCGCTATGAAACTGTAGGCCTTCGTGTTAATATACTTTGATATCTATCAAGTAAAGCAAATAAAGCAGTGCTGACCTGTCATCCAATATCCTTAGGTCCCAATCTGATCAAGCATTCCCAGGAAACAGAGGATCGTTAATGCTCACTCTCAGAGGATATTGCCAGTACCTGTGGGGCCTATACAGTGCTAGGAAAGAGGTTTTAGTTTATTTGATGACTGGTCGGGGTAAATACTTAAGCCAAATCAGAAGTATATATCCATGAACAGAACCTTAAATCTCCTCAAACCAGAATCCCATGATTCACTGTGTCTACAGTGCAACATGATACCTCCGTCTTTGGTCACATCCAAAGATAAATACTCAACATGATGCAACCACAGAAGCTTTTAGAAATGTACTCCAATGACTGTGTCTGTGACCAAACTGCTGATCTTATTCTGCAAGATTAATAACTGCAACTGCAACCGCGCCAATACATTACCTTCATGAGTGGTTTCAGGCCATTACACGCATCACTTGTCCCACAGTGTCGTTGGAGCACACTCTTTTGAGTCAGCCACACCAACCCATCTTTAGTTTCTCCTGAAACTTATGCACAGCTCCCTGTGAAGTAGCACACTGCTGACTAATCAAAAACGAACCTCAATTCCACGATCATTTTCCCTCATAAACTTCCATGTAACCTTTTCTTTCTTTTTTCATACGTTTACCGCAGACTCTGTCCACACTGTTTGAAGATGCATGAGCGACCGTAAACTAATGAGCTAACATTTAGTTCAGATGACATTTACACTTTCATCGAAACACATTTTATCAAAGAAAACAAGCTGAGAGTTTTTCTCCGGCCTTCCTCATCTTTCCAAAATGACATCACGTAATCTGAAACAGTTGTAATCAGTGATCTGTGTAAAAGATTTGTGCTATAGCCTCTGTAGGAAAAAGCCAGGGTGCTACCAAGCCAACAACTGTTGGTGGTTGTCCTAAAAAATAGTTTCTCAACACTCACACCCTGATAAATCTCAGCAAATTCGCTTTTTTTGTAATCTTTTGTAAACTATTAATTTGAAAATAAGCTCAAAGTAGATCCTCTGACTGAAAAATTCCTGAAAGATCTGATCACATAAAAATGTACAAAATGTTAAAAACACGTTTTTTTAATTGGCATTATTATCAATATCTCTTGGTTTTTTTTAAATATATATGTATATATATTTATATAATGTATCTCTGACTGTGGATGTTGTTGTTCAGTGACTAATCAATCATAGCTTTCTGCGTCCACCCACTCCGTCATGACTGACAGGCTCTGTTACCAATCAGGTGCTCCAAGGACAGGAACCAATCAGAAAGGTTTGTGGAGAGTCTCCGCATCAACTTATCAGCATCAGGAGTGAACAGCCATTCAAATTTCTTCTTTTTGTGACTTTTTCTATGTCCATTACATCCCTTTCCACAAGTTCCTCCTTGAGCATCTACTGTCCTCTACCTTTTCACTTCATCAATATCTGAAGTGTTTATCTTAACAAGTGACTAAATGCTACTATTAAAATCGTATTTCTCTCTTCCAAGCAGCAAATTACGCAGCCAAAGAGGTGAAACAAATGTTCTTGTCCCAGTGTTTTTAACTCATTTTAGGGATCCTGACAGAAATGTAATTGATTTTTTGAATGAAACATCCAACAAGAATTTTGTGAGCCAATGTAGTGTTGCATAAACTACAGTCTCATTTCATCTCTTTGGCAGACTGGTGTTTTGGCTGAATACTAGATTAAATATAAGATTAAATCACATGTTAAGACATACACTTGGACGTATTTGTTTTCCTCACAGTGCCTCTTCTCTCTGCTCTTTTTCTGAATGTCTTTTCCCTTCTCAGTCTGACCACAGGTTCTCCATGGCCATGCTGATCTTACACAGGATCCAGCGTCGGAGCGGGCAGTAATACTCGTAGTGAAACTGCTCAAACTCCGGTGTCTGCCGGATCTCATGGAGGAAGGATACATCAATATCTGACTCCAGCAGCAGCAGCAGTGTGGGCACGGTGACGAGCAGGACCCCCATTACCACAGCGACAAAGCGGGCCACGCTCAACACGCAAGCATTGACTCTGTCATTGGATGACAGCAGGCGCAGACTGCTGGTCAGGACTCCGCTCATTCGACTTCTCGCAGCCAGGCGGGTGCGCTCATAGGCCCTGTCTCGCTCCCTCTCGGCCTCTAGCTGGGCCTGGATGTCAGGATCAGCATGGAGCTCCCTAAGCAACCTGGCGGGGCTTTGAACTGGAGAGGAGAAGAGCAAGTCGACTCCTCCCTGGCTGTCGTCCACTGGGGTGGGAAGCATGCTGGCACAGGGACTGGAGAAGAGAGAGAATAAGCAAACCTGAGCCTGAGTTCACCCAATGAATGTTACTAATGTTCAGATTCAGTGTCTGCTGAATGTCCTGAATCTCACTTATGCCTGAGAGATACCTTTTGCTCCTAAAATGTTAAAAACTCTAAAATTTGTCCTTTGCTAGAGAAAATGGGTTGAATTTGGAGTTTTCTTTCCAAAAACCGGCAACTGCATCCATCAAAAACACAACCATCTTTACATGAGCCAGAAAATGATCATTCAGCCGAAAGCAGCTGTTGAGGCTTTTATAATTAAAAAAAGCTGCTTTTGACAGTTTATTATAAAGATTTATTGACCTGTAAGTAAGCTCAGAAATGGTCAGTGTGCCGCTGGCCTCATCGTCTTCCTCCAATTCATGTTCAGCTTTGGGCGTCTGAGGTCGGAGATTTGAGGTTTCCATGGAAACACGAGGCTGCAAGTCATTGCCCGAAGCAGAGTTTCCTGCTTCAGTACTTTGCTGCTCTGCATCTGCAGACCCAGCTGAAGATTTGAGGGGAGACAAGGGGACCGAGTCCTTCACAGCAGCAACACCTGGTGAGGGGGAAACAGAAGTCAGAATATCTTTGTTTTTAATAAACATTCATAATTATTTCACCTTTTATTTACAGAACAGATGATGAGCAGACTTCGATACTTTTTTAAAAAGTGCATTTTCAGCATTGTGTCTTGCACAGTTCACAGCGGAGCTACAAAAAGCACATTTAGAGTTTGTAACTAAAAGACAGAAGATTATTTTGCTCTCCAATGTGATCTCTCTTTAATGTAAACATGAACAATTTCACACTTTGCAAAGCTTGATGTTTTAAAAGCAGATTATTTGAATAAAGAATATAATAGTTTTAGTCTAAACATATATCGAGAGCTCTGCCTTTATCACCACTTGCTTGACTTTTTCTTAGTATTAGCACACTGTGCAGGATGTAATCGGCCTGCAAAAATCAATATTACTTTGTATGCAGCTGGGAATGGAGACCTCTCAGCTTTGCCTTTTTTGTGTGTGTTGCTGTTGACTACATTGACCACAAGATGGCGTTATTCGCTCACGTAAGGATAAAGCTTCGGACTTGGAAAAACAGCAACCGAGTAATAAATAAATACCCAACTGTGGCATCAACACACAATTTGGTGAAACCATAATATTGCTACGCTGCAAGTGCATAGCATAGATATAAGTCACTGCGTTTGGAGCAGTGATGTGAGCAGCTGACAACACCTCTGTGAGTGTGAGCAACAGTTGATGCAGCGATGAAAACCTCCTGATTCTGTTGGTGTGTACAAATTTCAGCTAGCAAAATAATACTCTGGTGTGCAGTTACACATTACTCTTTGAGATTGATGAGGTGCGAGAGATTAATGCCTAAATACACACACATTTGTTGATGAATGGAAATATATAATGTGTGTGTGTGTGTAGGTGTGCGCGCGCGTGTGTAAGTGAGTGTTAAAAATAAGCCTAGCTGTCTTCCTGCTGTGGATTAAGTATGAGCTGGGAGGTAAATGTTCAGTGACATATGACTCAGTCTACACCTGTAATCCATACTACATCTTGCTGTCTTGTGGCACTCTATGTGTAAGGTCAAGACTCTACTGTTGGTTCCCACAAGCATAGTAAACCTCAAATTTTTGGTCTCCACAAAGATATGTCAGAATTTCAGACTAAGGAAACACATGAACACACACACATACACACACACACACACACACACACACACACACACACACACACACACACACACACACACAAGCCCGTTCAGCTATCTTAGTGAGGACCTTCATTGACATAATGGTTTCCCTAGCCCCTTACCCTAACCATAACCATTAAAAATGAATGCCTAACCCTTACCCTAAACCTAACCATAACCTAATTGTAACCCTGACACTAAAACCACATTTTGAGCCTCAAAAAGGCCTTCAAACTTTTGAGGACCGGTGAGTGTGTCCTCACAAGTGACTGTCGGTTCTTACAAGTATAGTAGAATGCAGATTCCGGTCCTCACAAAGATAGCTAGACAGGAACACAGACTCATGTTCATTACAAACACAGCTGAAAACATGTAGCCTCACAAACTGAGAAAGAAGGGTTAAAACCTGATGAGACTACATGACAAACATTACATCTGCAATGTTTTTATGATCCATTGATTGAAAGTGGAATAATATCAGATACAGAAACTCAGTGTCAGAGTGACTAATGAGTTACCGTGCTCCCGATTCAATTATAAATTGATAAAAAAAATAAAATAAAAAAAGAAAGAAAGGGCAAAGGAGTGCTGAAGAGTGAGTGGTGACTGCTACCATGGAAACACAGCAGGCAAAAAGCCAACAAGTGTGTGAACTCAGGGAGGGAAAAAAGGGGGGAGGAATAAAAACATGGAAGCTGCAGCAGAAGAAAAACAACACAGTGATGGCGACGACGACGCTGATGATGATGATGCTTGCAGCAAAAGAAAACAAAACTCAGTTGTAATTATTGCAGTTTGTTCCTTTACTGAAATTCTGCACTGGACTTGATTTTTGATTATTCCCTTTCCACAAATGTGTTGTCGTTACCAGAGATGGGCGTGTTACTGTAATCTGATTACTTTTGTCAAGTAACGAGTAAAGTAAGGGATTACTATTGCAAAAACGGTAATTAGATTACCGTTACTTTCCTGTAGGAACGCTGCGTTACTGCGTTACTAAATCCGTGATTTTTTTGCGAGAATGTCTCATGACAGTGACGTAAGCGAGTGCAATGTTCGTGGCAACAGGTGTGTGCAGATCAACAATGGATCATATATCAGTGCGGGAGAGACTATGAGCGTGCAGCGTTTAAAGCGTGGAAGTACTGACCTTACTTTAAGTTTGATTCCGTACAAAGTGACGAAAACATTAGTGTCCGTTGTGCGTGGGAAGAAAACTTCTTTTTACAGCGAACAAAAACCCCTAAACTTCCAAGCAAGCACCAAGTGCGCAACGACGTAATGGGAAATTCACAGAGAAACTCGCAGATTCTTCAACTGACCGCTGCGGCACACCTGCATCAGGGTAAACCTCCGCCTACCTCACTCCTGCTTTACAGGTGAAAATAGAGCAAAAGGACCGCTGAGTCTTTGACTTTTTTATTTTCTGCTGTGTTTTACTTGCATCTATTTGAAAGAGTGAGTGTAAACACAAAAAACATTTTATTTTATGTGCTGGAATGTGCAGAGAATAGGTTTAAATGTTAAACAAATTTCTTCCAGTCAGAGAATGTTGCATATAATTAAATTTTTGCTTGATACATAAAGTTGAAAGATTAAAACTAATAAAACAAGTTTTAAAAAGAGACTTTTCCATTTGATTACATTTTGTACGATGGATTATGTAGAAAAAGTAGAATTGGGCTGAAAGATCTATCGCTTTATCACCTATTCAGGTTGTAAATCGTGTTTTTAAAAAGTAGCTAAGTAATTAATTGCTTTTGAAAATAAGTAATCAGTAAAGTAACGGGATTACTTTTTGGGGGAAGTAATCAGTAATTAGTTACTGATTAGTTTTTTCAAGTAACTTGACCAACACCAACACCATCACCAACCCATCACAACACCAGCCGTACACTCCTCTTATTTTCTTTCATTTGAAATCTTCCTAAATTCTTCCAGTAACACTGCTTAATAATCAGCTCTCAAATCTGTTGAAATGCTAAATGGACTGGTATTTACATATCACTTCCCTACTCTGTTCGAGCACTCAAAGTACTTTCTCACAACGAGACTTGTTCGCACATTTACACGAGTGCTTTTCTTTTAATGAATGAGAACTTTTACAATAACATTCACAAACCGATGAATGCATCAAAGGCATCTCGGGGTTCAGTATCTTGCCCAAGGATACTTCAACACTCAGACGAGACTACTAGACTAGACCACCAACCCTGCGAATGGAAGACCTACTCTGCCTTCTGAGCCACAGACATCTGATGTGGGGAGGACAAAAAGAAAGGACTCAAAAGCAACCAAGGCAGAACTGCTTGGCACACGGTACATACAACATTATATGTAAAATTATGAATCAGAACAGAGTCCCACTCTATGTAAAGCTAACCCTCCGTTCTCTTTCAGTCATGCCTTCCTGTTTTATTGTGATAGTTATTGCTTTCTGTGACTTGTGTTGCGTTTGCTTCCCCTCCCTCGTTATTTTTCTTTGTTGCATCATCCCTTACTCTTTTTTGCATCCCGTGTGTTATGTGTCTCCAGTACAGTTTTCTAGTTAGTAAATTCCTGGTATCTGCTCAGCTTAGGTTCTTTTGTTAGTTTGATTCCTGTGAGTCCAGCAGTAAAGCTGTATTTTGAGTTCAGTGTTGCTTCCAAGTCCTGCATATTGGGTCCTAATCTTGATAGCCACATGGCAGCATATGACTGCTTCAGGTGCATCGCTTATTATTAAATCTATCCTTCATAAGTGTGGCAGTGTGTCCATTACAGTTGGATGTTTGATTTTATGACACACTGATTGGAAAGCTGACTAACATTAAAATGGTACCTGTATCCTGTTTGCACTGTAACGTATTAAAAATCTATACAGCAGAGACTGTCAAGTTCACATCATGACCAGCTAAGCCTGAGATTAGGAGTCAAAATTATTTTGTAAATTTACAAAGAAGAAATCCTGAGTTCTGTCTGACTTAACTACGGTAAACACATCACTGCTGCTGCAGCTGCTATTTCCCATTTATGATCCAGTCTGTCCTGTTAGCTCACATGCAAGCCTCTCCAAAGATGAGGTGATTCACACCTCAAGGTGTTAGATTCCTCGTGCCTATGCAAACACGCACACACACTAGTACTCAGAGCAGCGGTTTCCCTTGTTATGCAAGTGCCGACAGACCGATTCATCTTTGTCATGTAACCTCATCTTTAGCACTCAAACACTTCAAAAGTAAATTTGTCTCTATGATTGTTCAGAAATAAATCAGCTATCAACTCCATTAACTGTGTGCTCAGCTCTTTTTTTTTAATTTTTAAGCTCAATTTTTGAGCTGTTTGAAGGATTACAGCTTCATCAGTCGAATTATAAAATCTACTTTTCAACCAAAATCATCGCCGATTTGTGAAAGTGATATAACTTTGTTAAGTCAGCTAAACGCACATGAGTGCATAACTGATTGCAGTCTTTCATGATGAGAATACATCTTTTGGCATCGAAAATGCTGAAATATAATAGGTTAGCAATAATTCTTTCTCACTGTGTCTGTAAATGAGGGAATTGCTTTGTCTTTCATCTGCATGTCAATTGTTTATAGGATCACTGATGAAGCTCAAAGGATATTTTAGCCAGTGGGATAAAGATAGGCGGAGTAAAACTAAAACTATTAAGCATTATCATTAAAAAAAATCAGTACTTGTGCTTTTGTTAATCCTTCACTATTTACTAATTTAACTTAATCATTTAATTCATTTAAACGTATTCCCAAATCTACTAATCAAATATTTAAAGTGCCTTATCTTGACCCATCTGCTTAATCATCATTTCATTTAAGGTTGTAAATATGCAGAGCAGGGTGCTAAACTTTAGCAGATATGATCCAGCAGAAGTAAATGTCAGATGCAAATGTCCAGTCTTTAACCAGTCAGGTCCTCAGGATGCACAGAGCCCCTGTGACATCACATTGCGCAGATGTAAGAAGAGAACAGGTAATGATCTGTAAATTTACAGCTAACGAGTGGGTGTCATATATGCTGCCTCCCACGCGCTCCATCCAGCACACTTTCCACACGAGCCACATTTAGTATTTCTAGTGGTGTGAAGAGCAGCTGAAGATTTAATCGTACCACTAGATCTTCAACAATAACCCTAACTTCAACCTGACCTAATTCTAACCCTATTTCATGATTTACTTCTGGGTACCCAGATGTTTAATGTTATGGGGACAAAATCAAGTCCCCATAACATGAGTAATACTTAAACTATGCACACATGCACACTTCTATTAAAGCAGCCTCTTGAGAGTCCCATGTTTGGCAGCTTACATTCACAGTTTGCATCAGGCGGTTGCCACAACAGACCTGGCAACTAACTGCTGAGCTACCAGGCTCACATATTTAAAAGGCGTTTACCTCCTGGTTAGACTGTGGGAAAAAATGTCAAAGGATACGTTTATTAGGAGCTAAAAGAAACTTCACACAGTGACCTTCCACTTGGCTTACTCTCTTCCAGTATATTTCTCTGAGGTCCAGTACTGAATCCAGCGATGCGACCCCCATTGCCCACCAGTCGCACATAGACATCCCGTCTTGTGTGATTGGCTATACGTAGGTGGAGGCTTCGCCTGGTTGTTATCTTCACCTGGCACCTCAAGGCCTCAGCCACTACTATCGATGAGTCTTGCTCATCTTCAGCCTCTCCTGGGTGGAATACTTCAAGAGCTCCAACCTCTCTCTGCTTCATCCCTTCTTCCCGCAGCCTCTCTGGTGTCATGTCGAGTTCGAGTCCCCCTATTTTGCTCCCGTAATTCTGGGTGTTGTCGACACCGGGACCGTCGCCCAGTTCCAAACTACCCTGCACGAGGCTGCCTCCAACATCACTGCTGTTTCTGTGCCCTAGAAGCTCCATCATTCAGTTTGATGACAAAAGCCGGACCAGCTGTCTGCACAAAGACCCTGACTGACTGGGCTGCCAGCTGAGCTCCAACACACGCACGCCTATACACAAACACTTATAGAGATGGTGAGAGAAACACCAGTGCACCAGAGACATTCTCTCTCTCTCTCTCTCTCTCTCTTGCTTATGCACAGACATGGTGGGCCCTCCTGTGAATGTCAGCGATGGTAACAAAGAGTGGAGGGGGCATTAGAGGAGGATCAGGCCCAAAGCTGCAATTTCTAAATATAACCAGGTGGTCCTGGTGGCAAAGGGGCAGCTAATCTAACTGATTACAGGGAGACAGGCCTGACTCAGGACGGGATGGGGGATCATTTTCTTTTCCTCTCTGCAACCCTGTCTTTATCTGAGTCTTTCCACCAATAAAATAAACCTAATTCCAATTCTACAGCAAGCTGGGTACAATCCAACTTTATTCACTACAATACTCGCCTCGCTGTGAGACTGAAAATGAAAGATTTTGTTGGATCACATGCTGCATTAACTGCTGCAAAAACATGGATTGTGAGGTGGAAATATGAAGCCTGGTGGCTATAAAACATCCATTAATGATGTTCCTAGAGAAAACATAGCCAGAGTGTATGCGTTTGGATTGTGGTAGATAAGAAGGGAGCAAACTGTACAAACAGAACAAGGTCAGCTATGACCTTGGGTCAGCTTCCTGTTTCCCCTGTAAAGGCTGAGATTAGTGCTCTGAATATAGACTGTGACCCTAAACCATCTTGAGGACACTTTATCTTAAAGTCCTTGCGTCAGCCACCTTAGCAGAATCAGCTCATGAAACAGTGATGTGTCGTCCAATCACATTGGTTGGGTGAAAGCATGCAACGTAATTAAACTCTCAAATCACATAACTCTCATCTGACTCCCATGGAAGCTTGTTTTCTTTCTCCTTTTTTTTTCCTGCCATCGATTAGTCACATTTCAGGTTATTATCTAAAAAATTTTACTTATTAACTCCTTAATGCCAGGTGCAAGACAGAGCATATTTCCTATACTGGCTTCCTGTCACATGTTTTCTTTGTATTATTGTAGAGTCTTGACCTTACAACATAAAGCACCATGAGGCAATTGTTGTTGTGATTTGGTGCTTTTTAAATAAAATTTAATGGAATTGAATTTAATTAATTTTGATGAGTTTTTTATAGCTCCACAACATTAGCACAAAAAACCTAAATAAATGGCAAAACAAATATTTAAAGCAATAAATTAAAAAAAAAAAAAAAAAAAGCCAGATGCAGCAAATATGATACCATTGAAAACTCACATGCAGATTTTTATTTACATTTTCTTTTTATGTGTTTAGTTCAATGAACACTCCATTTTCAATTTTGTTTGTTATTTCTAATGATTATTAGATTATTTCATGGTTAAGGTTTTAAATGGTGAAGTTGAAATTTGAATGTAATTCATTTTTAATAATAAATTGACATTTAAACTTAGCTCTACTCAGCATCTTTTTTTTTGTCAGTGAGGAAAAAAAGCTTCTATAAACTCCCATATGCAATGTTGGAAACTTGTGGGAGGCGGACTACAGCACGGGCTCATGTGCGTACCTGCTTCGCATTAAGACGCCTGTGTTAAGAAGTGCTCTCTCAAATTCTCTTTCTACATTTTTCATGCATATTGTGAGTCTGACAATACATGAATATTTAAAAATCTTAATTTGAACAATCTATGTCTTCATCTCTTTTTAAAATGTCTTTTTTCTTGTAAACTCTTCAGTTTATTATATTTACTGTTAAACCTCTAATGTTTTAAAATAATTTACAACTATATCACTTAATATCTTATTACCAGAGGGAAAGGCAGGAACTGCAGAAGAAAACAAGGCATTTTCAAATTTAATCTTATGTTATTTACTCAGCCTGTATCCTGTACAAGGCCCTTTATTTGGCCTACTGTCCTGCCCAAACCAGCTGAGACAGCCGAGATGGTTTCTACTGCAGGTCTTTGACCCCGAGCCAAGAAAGAATTGATTTTCCTGGAAATGGGATGAAGGGAGATGAGTGAAAAACAGAGACAAGCAACAAAGAAGAATAGAGGTGGATAAAACGACGGAGTGACCTTAAAATCTGTCAAAAAAAGGCATGAGAGAAAGCGATGAAGTCTATAAATAATTTGTAGACAGTGATGGTGCAACAGCATGACTGCACTGTACATGTTTGAGAACCTAACGAATGTGGTTCAGGTGGATTAAAGGTGAGGACAGGAGAGGTGAAAAATACTGACTGAAGGAGAGGAGAAGCTCTGAGGCGATGGAAGAGACGTGCCTGGCTGGATGGATATAATTTTAACTGAGGGTAAAATGAGCATCAAATCGTTCTTCATCCACAACAGTGTTTTGACCAAGAGTTTTAATCCTCTAATCAACAGCAGCTAAGTGAAGACAGGACTCAGGCACTATCCGTGGTTTGAAAACATGAAAACAGGTTATTGTAATGTGTGAAGTACACAAAGAAAATGCTGTGAGAAATGAGATTGAGATCAAAGGAGATTTTCAAAAACTTGAACTCTGACCTTTGACCTTTAGGTCAAGGTCACTGCGATTCAAACTCATCCTAGATATTTAGCCGATGCACCTATTTTATCCATTTGAAAATCCTAGGTCACTTTCTTCTCGAGTTATCGCATTCATAAGATTTTAAGAAAACTTGACCTCTGACCTTGAGGTGGAGGTTACTAAGATTATTTGTAGATGCATCTATGGTATCAGTTTTCATTTAAAAACTTCCGTGTATGTGCAGCCTGCCCGGCAGGGTGACATCTACACCCCATCAGCCTTTTATGTCTGAGTAGGAAAAATGGAATCTTAGTCTGCAAAAACACACAAAGGTGCAGACACATGGAAAAACTGACAGTCAGAATTATAGTGGGATCCTTAGGGGGGATCAGGAGAGGGTATTTTTAGTATGTTGCAATTGGTCACCAGGGAGACAGGATTGATGGCGAGATGGGAGCATCAGCTGCTCAATTAAAGCTCTCTCTCTCTGAGTTTTGTGCATGGATTTCTTCCTACACAAGGAAGATCCCATGTGACTTCACAAATGTCTCTTAGAGGGGGCATGAGTGCACGTCTGTTGTGTGTATTTGGGTCTGTAGTAAGCAGTATCCTCCTACCGCTGTCCACGGCCGTCTCTTCGTATTCGTTGGTGGAGGGCAGTGCAGGTACCAAAGGTTCCATGTTCATGATGAGATTTTTATGGCTCAGAGAGTTAAAACTTCGACTCTGACCAAACTGAGCTCTGAAAAACATGAACGTCATACATTTTTTAACACCCTTACTAACACCACCATGTGCACTCTGGTATTCATATCTGCAGAACAATAGATGAAATTGTCCTTATTTTATGTTTTATATGAAATAGTGTGACTTCAGGTAATTTCTCAGATGTCCTTACCTGCGCACTTCTGGTGGCTCTCTCTGAATTTTGGAGCTGGCTTCTATCACTTCCTTGGCTACTCTGCCACTAACACAGAAAAACACATAAGTTAAAGGTTGGTTTGTGTTTATAAAAATACTGTAATTGAAAATAAAATGTTACGATGGCAGGTCATTAGTCTCCCTATAGGCAGGTCTGTAAAAAATGTACTGCTTTTCATTTACATGCATATTTGTAGAACTATACAAACCTCCCGAGGCCCTTTGTGACAGTAATATGAATAAGTTTACTCTATGCTATCGTCTGAAAAAATAAGCAGTAGCTTGTAGAACCACCTTTTGCAACAATAATATGAAGTAATAATTTTCTATATGTCTGTTCTATAAGTCTCTCACATCACAGGTATTTGTTTATGCGCAGCTCTCTTAAGGTCCTATCACAGCATTGCAGTCGGTTTGAGGTCCAGACTTTGACTGGACCATTGCAATGCCTCGAATCATTCCTTTTTCAAACAGTCTGTTGCAGTTGCTTGGGATCATTGTCATATTGATCCAAGTTGTTTGATAGACAGCCTCACATTTGAATCTAGAAATCTTTAGTGTGCAAAGGAGTTTATGGTCGGCTCAACGGCTGCAAATGTAGAGGTCCTGTGGCTACAAATTAAGCCCACATCATCAACCCTACCCATATGGAAAAGAAATAGTAAAAACTTATAAAAGACTTGCATAAGATGTGGCCTACTTCATATAGTGAATCATATAAGGCTTATATGATTTACTCATGAAAGTGGCCACTTTCTCATTACTTTCATATATTGCTTTATTAAGTATCCAAAACATACAAGTTTCATTTCTAGAATTTTTCAAGGGATCTTATATCTGTTTTCACTCTTGTATGCTTTTCATACAAGTTTCACACAAGACAGATACAAACTTTATAAGATTTATATATATCGTTTCCATATGAGTATACTACCATGCATCACAGTTTGTGCTGAAATTCGGTCCACTTTGACTTTGATCTGTCCAAAGCACATTGTTCCAAAAGTCTTATTTTTTGGACAGATATAATTTTGAACACCTAAGCTGTGCTGTCTTGTCTTTAGAAAGAAGAGGCTTTCTCCTAAGAATCCACCTAGCCACACTTGTTCAGTTGTTATCTAAATGTACTGTTGCGAACTTTAGCATTTAACATGCTAACTGAGTTCTATAGAGTCTGAGTTTCTCTGAGCACTGCACGACCTGACCTTGGGGTGAATTTTCTGGGATGTCCCCTCCTGAGAATGTCTCGAATGAGTTTTACTTGAAGTAATCATTCAGTTAATGAAGTGCATTTGAATAGCAGCACTTGGCTGCTACTTATACTCTTAATTTCTATTAATGCAGTAAGGGTCTTTGCAGTTTTTCATATGAATGCAGAGTTTCCCATGAGCATTTTTTGTTTTTTAATGTGCTACTATAATTTCACGGACAGTATGTCTGAGTTACACCGATTGCTTCATGTCATAAAAGAAAAGGAGAAAATCAGATTTGATGCTACTCGGCTTACATTCAGTGTTGTTCCTGTTGAGCAGACAGTTTCCTGCCATCAGTCGGCAGCTTCATTAGTCAGACTGTAACTGCACTGTTTAAAGCCAGCAGGCTTCTTCATTTTACCCATTAATCTATTGTTGTTTAGACTGATGTTTAAGTCATAAATTAGGTGGTGATATAAAACATACGCACTTCATATCTCAAGAGACAGTGGCATCAGCACTGGTGGAAATACTGGAATCAGCTGGATCAACACACATTATGTGAAGACCCGATCTGCTCGGCTTTGCATAAACTGCCTTCATTTATGGGATACAAATCTCAGTCCTGTTTTGCACAAATGACCAATTCCCATTTTTTCAGAACAAATTCCACCATATGCTATTACTCATCGCTGAGCCCTTAAGCCAAAATGCTTCGGCGAGCTGATGAAATGGGGCAGGCTGAAGTGTAAGCCTGGTAAAGAGCTTTGTCTGAGAGGAGAATCAGGGCTCACTTAGCTTCAATAACAGAGTATATAGAAGCTTTCCGGTGATATTAGAGTCAGTAAATCATAGAAACCGGGATGTAGGTGCTGATGTGCAATGACGAGAACTCCCATCTTGGTTATTTGGTGTCTTGATGATCTAATTTTCCATCCATTTTTGTCACTTTGGCAACAAATGCATGGGGTAAGATGATGCTGCTGTTAGTAAAGAGTAAGGTGACAATGTGCAGGACCGAAACACTCTGTACACTTTTACACAAAATTAAATCTTTACATTTCAGTGCTTGAAATGTACCATACCCCCTCGTCGCTGTTGTTCCCAATTCTCTTTGCACATATTCCTTATGATTTCTTTAATCATATAATACACCTCACCTGTATCTGAACCTGCTGCCTTTGAAGAAGATATTACTGCTGGAAACTGTTTTTATCTGACTTGACTTTGCACACCTGTCAGACAAAGAAAGGAAGAAACAAAAAGAGACACATTACGTGTACAGCAGCCTTGCACACTGAACCCTGACTAACACATGTCGTAGCAGAATAACAGATTTTTAAAGGCTCAAACTCTCATCACAATAATGTTTCACTAATTTTTTTTCTCGCAGAACACAGAGTAGCCTCTCAACAAGCTTACAGCACGGTGTGTCTTTTTAAAAGCTTATGGCTGGAGGTCAAACCTTCATGTTTCATTCTATATAATTTATCATGTGAAACCAGACTCCAGTGCTGCAGAGAAGGAGCTAGAGCACAGACACACACATGTCTGCTCTCCTTCGTGCACGAGACACCATATGCTGGAAAAGCTCTGCTTGGCTGCCGTTCACAAACTCAATTCACTCTGATTTGATTTAGCGGCTCTGATGCTTGTCTGACATCCGAGCTGACATCCACTCCATCTCAGTCCGCCTTTTAGAGACACATGAGCTGCTGTCATTAGGAAGTCAGTATTCAGGGTTGTATGGGGCAAGGGCTATTTTACAAATTCATAACGATGTCTTCCTTTTGTAACATTGTCTGCATGTATGGTGCTTCTTGATAAAATAAAGCAAGGCAGAGAGAAAAGCATGTGAAAAGTGAAGAATGCCTGCAGTTAAGAGAGAGCGGGAGACCTTCAGATTGACTGACAGTGTGGAGGAGGAAGGCCACCGTAGAGAAATCCGTCACAAAGCAGCCTCCAGTTCTTGCGTCAAACCTTTGGAAAATCTCATCTCCTCCAGCCTGACCTCTCTCCATCAAATGAGACCAGCTGTTCAGAGCCGCTGAGCCTTCTTATCCCCCTCCACGCCCACACGCACTTTGCTGTTTGGTGCCTCTTCCTTTTCTTTTCACAAGGCTCATCTTCTCAGACATGAGCAAAAGATCCAACTGCTAATATCAAGCTCAGGAACAACCTTAAATGAAGAATAGCCATCTTGGTTGAGGAATGATGAATAAGTGTGAAGCTGATAGGAAAAGATGAACGGTTCAGGATCTCTTGAAGATCCTGGGTTGTTATTTTGTGCAAATTTTACATTGCAGATGTGACATCCTCTTGTGTTTTTCCATCTCGGTTGTTTTATATTCATCAGTCTGCTCTCCTCATATACTCACTGAACTGGGATTGACAAAAAGGAGCAGATCTGTTGTGCTTGCCCACTATATTTGATTCTCGATTACATTAATGAACATAGATGTTAGCATCTTGTCTTGTCATGAACCTTGTTTCCCTTCCCTCCGTGCCAGTGGGGTCAATAGTCTTTGCAGATGAGATCAATGGCCTTGGAGCAATCAGCTGCTCCCCAGTGAAGGACGACGACATGTCCTTGCAGTACTGGGAGTAAATTAAGGAGATAATGTGCTAAAATTAAGTCGGTTTTGAAGTGAAGCAAAATCTTGGCTCGATATAAGAGCTCAAAACGTTTCTACTGGAAGCGGGGTTTTGGTGTAAGCTGATCCTGCACAGTCTCAGCAGTTACAGGAAAAACTCAATAAAAATAAAAATGAATTTGTGTGCGTGTTTGTGTGTGTGCAGACGTACTTGTAAAAGGCCTGGTTCTCCACCCCGCACTTCCATAAGTGCTTACACGCTGCAGGGGTCGAGGTGTGAAATGTCAACACCAGCTTCTTCTACACAGAAAAGGACAAAGACAGAAAGAGTGACAGTGAGGATGAGAAATGAGCTTACTGGAAAAGAAAAAACTGTGAATAAGGACAAGAAAAGAGCTGAACGTAATGTGAGGGAGCTGTGCAAAATGCTGACCCACAGACCCTAAGCTGTAAGCTTGGCAAGATAAAGTCATTCGGTCACAGTGCTCAGCATTAAAAGGCTTCTACCTTGCAGAACATGGGTTTTTATGGACTAAGAGGAGAGATTTATTCCCGTAAGCATCTAGTCTCTGGCTCTGCAAGTCTGGGAACGTGGGACGCCAGATCAATACTGTTCAGCAAAGAGGATAGAGGCAGAGACGAAGCAATGAAATCAATAACATGAGAATGAGATACTGTAACAGAATATGATATTATACCGCTATAAGTGTCTGTTAAAATAAAAAACACTTCACTGTTAAGTTGACAGCAGTGAAAGGGTCCAGTCTGTGCCCACTTCATCAGCTGTATTGCGCAGCCCCCAAACTGTCACATATCAGTTATATTAGGTATGCAGGTGTGATTTACACACATGTGCTTCAGTTGCCATGTGTGTGTTCACAGGTGTGTGAAGGCGCCAGGACTACGTGTTAATCTGCCTTTGGTCCCACTTTGGCTGACGTGCAAAAGCGCTGACTTGGATTTTTTGGGGGGAAAAAAAGAGTTAATTGAAAAAAATCATCCACTGAGGGGAAGAGACCGAAATTGTACATTTTAAAACGTAAAAATCAACTCAGATGTCAGAAATGTATTTAACTACAATAAAGATGATGCTATTTACTCTGTGTGCCTACAGTAAAGGACCAATTAGGTTTATTAAAAGATCACGATCGTGGTTCAAATACAGCCTTTTACAGCTGCAACCACTTCTCTGCAACATGCTTTTCAGACATGCATGAACGCACAGCAGGGCGGCGTCCTGCATCAGCAGAGCCTATGTGGTCGTTGCTGTGCGTTCACTGGTGCGTTGTGACACCTGATCGAGTGGCAGATGGGTTGTTCAAAAACACGCTTGTTTGGGGAAAAAAGGTTTTTCTAGAACTGCTCATCCAAACAAATTGAATCAAATGGGATTTGATGTACAGTAGTTGAGCTAACCTTGAAAACTGAAGTAAGTCTTTTTTGTTCTTTACATATCACAGCTGATTATGAAACTGAGGTCCATGCACAGGGTAAGCCATGCTTGTGTGTTAGGAGTTAACTGTTGAGTCAGCCAAAAAGAAACTGACCAAGAATTTGTGACTTTGATCTCATAAAAGTGTTTCATCTATATAACCTGCAATCAGCTCAAAGTGGGACAGGTGGGTTTGGGTAATCAGAGGAGAGGGAAGAGTGAGGAGTGACCTGCCACATGGTGGAAAATTCAGGAAACAAGCATCAACACACAAATCCTCACATAAATAAAGTACACACACACCCACACAGTCAAAAGGATGAAACGGTTATGAAAAAATTGAATGAGATGAATGAGGCATGGATAGAGTTATAGATTAAGCAGCAAAACATTGCATGTTAATCTATAGTTCACTGGAAGTCAGAGGGTGAATTTGATTACATGGGGAACAAGACGGGGACGGAAGCCACAGAAGAACTGCGATCATATGAAATGAGAGCAGAGAGAACTTTTATATAACACACCAGACAAACAACACTTAATGACAATATCATGAAAAAAGAAATAAAACATGGATAAAAGGTTCCTCCAATCATAAAGTGAGGCGAGGGCAGGGCTGCGGGTAAAGGTGTCAAATTGAGGACTTAAATACAACAACGATTTGCGCTACTGTTTTTACTTGTATTTACTCACCAGAGATGACTATGTTTACACACAGAGAGAAGAGACAGAAACACAGAGATAATAGTGCATCTTCAGCCTTTCACGAGGAGCCGAACAGACAGACAAGGCAGACAGACTGACAAGTTAAGCAGCGATGAAAGAGCGGAACTGAGCTTCTGTAATGAAGACAACAGCTTTGACACTCATCGATTGGCTGATTGGTAGATTTAAGAGCAAAATGGCTTTAGCTGCAAGGATTTTCAGGTGTTTTTGAGCCGCTTCAGGCAGACTGAAGGTAAAGAGCACATCGGTTGTAAATCCTGAAAAAATAAAGTATGCAGATAGACGAGGCACTGAAACTGCTGCTCAGAATCTACCACAGCTCTGTTGGTTGATAAACATCAAGCAACCAGATGAAGCATGTGTCCCAAATGCAAGACATCCGCTGTTTGAAAGTTAGTACTTGCTTTCTGTTTCAGTTTGGAGACACCATGTCATATACTGTAGTTTATCTTTGTTAGGGATGCGGTGCAGTGAAGGAGTCTAATATTTGGGCCACAGTCAGCACATAATGTGAATTAGGAGGTTGTAACACACCCACCATCCTGTTACAGTGAATCCTGCCTGTTAAGGAGATCTGAAACAGCGACACACATATACAGTGTGTGTGATGGTGGACAGGATAACAAACAGTACAGTCACTTAGCACATTTATCTGACAAAACCATTACACAGATGAGGATAGGGGAAAGGGGGAGGGAGAAGGAGGAAAGAAGGAGGAAAGAGAATGAAGGACGTCCGTTTTGCTCAGGGTTGGCAAACAGTCACTAACACACAACTGATCTCAAATTCTGCAGTCTGACTGTGCAACGTTTGCCTTTGTAATAAGTAATGAACACATGTTAGAAGTTTATATCTAACAAGTCAGCAGGATGTTGATTACTTTGGTGCAAAAATGCACAATTCATCATCAGGACATGGAGGAAACTACACATCTCACTTGAGTCATCATTTTTAACCTTGTAGAGACACCTCGCTCACCTCTTTCTGAATGCCAATGACGTAAAAGGTTTTTCCTTCAAACTTCAGCTTGCTAACATCAGCCCTGCAAACAAACACAGAGTTAAGACTTTGAAATATCTGCAGATAAGAGTTAAATATAGGCTAAATGCTAAACTTAAAGCTTTAAGTACATTTAAAGTACTGCTGTCATTGATTGTGTCATTGTAAAGATGTCTTCACAAGAAGCCACCCAAGCAACACAAGTTCCAGTTGCTGATGTCATAGAGAAAAAATGCCAGTTAAAAGAAATATTGGGTTAAAGGAAACTTTGATTAAAGGAGCAAATGCATATTTGTACTATGGTTGGCCTATAACTGTTAACCAGGTACAAGTAGAGCAACTTAGAATAGTACCTTTAGGTAGGCAACCTCCTTAAGACCAACAAACAGCATCACAGACTGAAGGGATTACACTCACTCTCAGAAAGTTTGGTAGGATTTGCAAATAACTGCAGCCGAACAGATTGGCAACACATTGCAATCAATCTGCGTAAGTCTGCACTGATGAGCAGAACTTGCTTACAATGCATCTCTTAGCAACAGAGGACTTGACTCAGCTGGTTGTCAGCTGGTTGTATTCTTTTTATATTTCTATATAAAACTAAGGTTGCTAAGCGCCTACGTCATTTTGCCATTAAATCGCCATCTATCGCCATTTATCACAGTTATTCGCTGTAGTATCACAAACAGATTGCAGCTGATTGCCAACGTGATGCCATTCATTGGCAAAAGATAGCAGAGTTCCTATAAAGCTGCAACTATTTTAAATGCGATGACTTTGCAAATTAAAGTGCAAGTTCATTGCACTGTCATTTGTTGGGCTGCGTTCATATTCTTTTTAAAAAAAAATTTTACACACATAGCTCATTTCAAAAAATATTGTGTGTTTTTATCAGTTTAATTACCACTGGTGCATAGTTTAAAATAACACTATCAATTCTTATTACTTTTGATAGATAAACTACATTTTTCTCCCTTAATTCTTATGAACTTTTGTTTAAAACTATGAAAATGGAGGTGCTACAACTGCTTCTTAAGGAAAGCATGGCTATAGGAAAGTGTATTTTAACACTCTGTAGCAAGATAATCTTATAGATGTCATGTTTAAATAAACAAACGGTTCTGCCTGCAAGGAAAAGTTAGAGATGATTATTTTAATTTGCTTCTAATAAAAATTATAAGTTTAGCAATACTTCAGCGATAAATCATAAATATAGAGTTTTCTGCAGTTAGCTTTGTTAGTGATTAGACATTTAATATTTATGTTTAATGATTGACAATTGTGGCTACACATTGCAGTGGTTTGCTTTTTTCCCAGCATACAAAAGACTCCCAGTTCGAGACTGGAGATGGTAATCTGTTAAATGCTGTGAAGGGAAGGGCGTCTGGTGTAAGAATCTAACAAATCAAATATGTGGAGCCTTCTGCTGTGCTGACAACCTGTGATTAAGGGAGCAGCCAAAAGAAGCTTTTTACAGGTTGATGTTTTTACCATTTGAGGAGGTGAATCCTCTTGTTTCCCTGGAAGACCACAAAACCTGTGGCTGTGAACCCAAGAAAGGCAGTAGAGCCTGTAAAGTCCTGAAAAAAACACATATCACAGCATGTAAGGCAAGTGGACTATCTATGACCTCATTGGTTGATGCACAAAATCCCATGTTTGTCATTAAACTTTTTAATTAATCAAGAACAAGGCAGTTAAAATACCGATTGATGGACTAAATCTGATGTAGTGAGGCAAAATCAAAATAATAACTTCCACATCATTAATCATCAGTAAATCTCTAAATTTGCATTCATCTCTATATATCCGTGTAAATCCCTCCCTTTCCCCTGTGTGCTTCCCACATCTTAGTGCTTACTTACTTTATTTATCTCCATAGATCTGCATGTGCATGATAGTACAGTACTTGCAGTAACAGCTATTTCCAGCAAACTAATTTAAAAAAAGCCTGCCAGACAAGAGTGGAACAGATAAAGGGGATCCTTCCCACTAGACAGAATTTAAATATCTTGTTAATCTGCTTTGTATCCTTTGATTTGTCTGTTCACAAGAGGATGTCCCTATTTCACACTTCAGCTTGGCAGAAGATGAACAGAAAGGATGAGAGCGAGCCATGAGCAAGTTGTAAAATATTGTTTTTCTTTATCAGATGCAGTCTGTTCAATCTATTGTGATAGCACAAGAAACAAAGAAACAAGTAACAGGAGAATGAAGCAGAATAGCAAGTGTAACATATCTGATAGTACAGTCTAGTTTTAGCAATTTAAAGCTGAAAGACAAATCAATGACACTGACTAACCATGGTGGTCTCTGATCAGTCAGTGAAGTCACTGTGTCCTCAGAACAGTGGCTTCTTTATGGACCTAGTTTATTTAGTTTTCAAGGAGGGAACATTAACTAGCTGGCTTGGATGTGATAGCGTAAATTGCACATAAGCTCTTGGCCTTAAATTATTTCCTAATCTGCTTGGAGCAAGTATGTGAGGCCAGGTAGACAGGTGCTATAATGCGACACGCCACTGGATGGAGCTGTTTCTTTTTTGAGCAATAGAGACGTTTACGGAATTGCTAGCTTGCGTCGGTGCAACACGTGTGTGCAACGGTGTTTTCGTCTAGTAGTAGTAGCAGTGGGTTACCAGTGTGGAGAGCTATTAATTGGTGACAGCTGTCGGCAAAATATTATTTTCTTGCAAAACCTCCATATTTTCATCTGGACACTTACTTAATCTGTGTCCTGGGCTGGTTAATTTTGCCAGCTGCACAGCTGGTGCGATTGTCCATAAAATACAGCATGTACCATCTGTCTATAAGGTCACAACAAATTGCACAGGCCCAACCATAGACTGTGTGCAAAAAAGATGAATGTAGCTTTTGCATCTGAAAAGTTCATCCAATGCATAATTGCCTTAAAACGTGCATAGTTTTTAATGGCCAGCAGGGGGCGCCTCATGTTGGTGCAAAAACACTTCTGGGTGTATACAAGTCTTTGGGAAAACAGCCCTTGGCTCTCTTGCTCTGTCAGCTCAGCAAACCCTTTTCTCGTGACTTTATGAGCTCAACCCTTAGTTTAAGCTTGTACTTAATAAAATATTACTGTCTTTTCTAAAAACTTATGGTCATTATTAAAATGGGAAAACTATACTCACTGGCTGTTGAGCTGTACATCTGAAATTATTAGTCAATGAGTGTGTGGTTTCACAGTCAGATCCAGCACTAGCTTTTTAGATGGCAAAAATACTCACCTCAAAACTTTAGAACGGGAGCTCACTAATCAACATATGACACGGTGGCTACATCCATCTTTTATATACAGTCTATGGAACACGCAACACCCTATGATGACGAAATCACACGAACACACGTGGATACGCACATGCTTGTGTGCATGGAAAGTATAACACCCACATGAAGCCATCTGTGTGAAAATCAGTGCGTAACCCATTATGTGTAAAGCTACTGTGTACTGTATATATTCTCCAGTTACGTTACCTTGCATGGGTGAGGGTCGACTCCATATGTTTCAAGACTGTGAGCCCTTTGGAGCATGTTCAGCTCTGCTAGTTCAGCACACTGGCCCCTGAAAGAAAATAGAGGAAAGGAGAGACCCAACTTTATACACTGACAGACTGAAGAATATGTTATTAAGGTGTTCCTATGTTGGATTACTTTCAATTGGATTTCACGTAAATGTCGGATACAACCAGATAGAAAATCAATACATGCAATTATCTTATTAGAGTTTTGAGATTTAAAGGTCAATATCTAGGGAGTTTGGTTGTGAACAAATTTGCGTTGACTTTTTATTCTAAGGATTGCTATGTTTTCTCCAGAAAGAACAGCACTAACCCTCCACTGCTAGGCTAGTTTCTTTTACAAGGACAAGGTTGCTTGTCGTACTAAGTCTACAGTATTTAGACAATATCAGTTTAAATAAAAGTATTACAGAATTTCTAACCAATTAAAGTGAGTACAATTATCTCTTATTATTATAAAAGGAAACAGTCATAACAAACCAGGCAAAGGGGTTGTGG